CCGTGCCCCTTTAAGGGGTCCGGGGCCAGGAGGGGGGCAGTAGAGTTTCCCTGGTGTTGGCCAGAGTGGCCACCAGGGAAACCTGGGGAGGGCTAGCCTCCCACTAGTTCAAATTAAGGGGCTACACACCCCTTAATTCGAACTAGCTAGTTCGAACTAGGCTTAATCCTCGTGGAATGAGGATTACCTAGTTCGAACTAAGCGCTCCGTTAGTTCGAATTAAATTCGAACTTACGGAGCGCTAGTGTAGCGCCTATGAAAGTTAGTTCGAACTAACATCTGTTAGTTCGAACTAACTTTGTAGTGAAGACATACCCTAGATCTTGTAAGAAAAAATGTCTTTTGAGCTCTCCCCTTTCCTTGGTTGCCTTGTTGAAATGAATGAGCTGTGAATGGAGAATGAAAGGGGAGCACCTCCAGCAGCAGTTGCCAGGGTGGAGAGGGGCTGGGAGCCAGACCCAAGACAATACCTGCAAAGTGAGCTTGTTAAGACTGGAAAAGACAGACGCCTTGGGAGTCAAGCAGCAAGTGTCTGCCCTTGGAAGCTCTCTCTCTGGAGCAGCATTAGGAAAGGCCAGGTGATGACTAATTGGCTGCATGAGAGGGAGAAATAGGCGGCATCTTGCAGAGGGATCCAGGGTTTTCCTCTTGTCAACATGGGAGCATGGATCCGGATCCTCAGAAGCCCAGCTCCACCCCGCCCCCATCTAACTCACCGGGCCAGTGCAGTGAGGGGGAGCAACTTTTGGTAACAAGATGGAGTGTGCTTGAGTGTGTGTGAGAGTGCATGAGTGTGATGTGTTATATGCATATGATAAGTATTGATTGATCTATGTATGTTCAATACATGTGGCGTGTTGCCTTATCCCCCTGAAAAAGATCCCGGGTGCTTCTTTTAAGCACATCTTTATGGCTGCTACCTGCAGTGCCAACAATACCAAGTGAGAAGGTGTCAGTGCCACATGCTTGTGACTCTTCGGTACCAAGGGTGGCATGGGTGCTGACAGTACCGTACGGGGCTTCAGATTTCTCGGTGCCGGCGGTGCCACAGCCGTAGATGGCTTGGACTTACCTTTCCTCGGTATGAATATGTGCACCAACAGTGCCGATGAAACAGATTTTGACTTGGCTTTGCTCAGCTTAGTTAGGTCCTTGGACCCTTGGTACCGGACCATCCCAGAGCCTCCCTGTCCAGAGCCCCGACCGGGGCTGGAGTAGGGGGCACTTTAGGTACTTGCTCCTATTTTTTTGAGGGAGAGTCACCTTTACCCAAGGAGTGAGATCTCTTCCCCATTTGATCAGAGGAAGAGTCTCTTAAAGTAGAGCTGGCCACTGTGGCTCTTTCAGACATGGCCAGAGGTGATGGTTGGCACGGGGAAGAGGAGTGCTCCGGGTCTGAAGTGGGTCTCACCATTTTCTCCAATGAAAGGAGTTTTAATTGAAGCGCCCGTGCCTTCCTTGTGCAAGCTGTTAGATGTCTGCAATGCTGGCACTGTGCAGTAGCGTGTGCCTGACTGAGACAGCGCACACACTGGGAATGACCGTCTGAGACAGGGATAGAGAGTCTGCAGGAGAGGCAGCATTTGCATCCCAGGGAGAGTAGAGATGTTAGGCCAAAATGATGGCAGTCTAACAGGAAAAAAAAGGTCTCAATATTTTTTCTTATTGAGGAGAAAAAAAGAAACTCTAACTATCAAACAAACTGTAACACTGACTGACCATTAACAATAGTGATAGAAATGTAGCCGTGTTAGTCTGGGGTAGTTGAAGCAAAATGCAGGACAATGTAGCACTTTAAAGACTAACAAGATGGTTTATTAGATGATGAGCTTTCGTGGGCCAGACCCACTTCCTCAGATCAAATAGTGGAAGAAAGTAGTCACAACCATATATACCAAAGGATACAATTAAAAAAAAGAACAAATATGAAAAGGACAAATCACATTGCAGAACAGAAGGAGGAGGCGGGGGGGTGGGAAGGGGGAGGAAGGAAGGTAAGTGTCTGTGAATTGATGATATTATTAACAGGGGAAGAAGTCCAACTACTCAACGAGTGAGAGCAACTGCGGTTCCAACTGATAACGACAGTGGTAAAGAAGGAACTGAAGGGACGGTTGCAGCGCATTCTACTGTAAATCTCCAACTGGTGGCACAGCAGCGCCTCAAGACCTAAGGTAGAACATCCACACGGACACTCCCTGTAGAAAAAGATGTGGGGTCTGGTTGTGGAACAGTGAGCACTGGGGTACCTGAGGGGACTGCTTGTGAGGCTTCTTGCCGGGCCAGAGTGGCAGCTGGAGTGCTCTGTGTGACTGCTTTGGTGCCTTGTACAGGAGAGCCCCAGGCTTGGGCTGTGAGTACCCCTGGTTCTAAGCAATTTGCCCTTATTTCACCCTCTCAGCAGTGCCCCCAGACCTCCTGTTATATTACAGCGAACTGCTTAGAACCAGGACTACTTGCAGCCCAAGCCTGGGGGTACTCCTCTATAAAGGCACCAAACACAGAGCATGTCAGCTGCCTCCTTGGCCAGCAAGAAGCCTCACAAGCCTCAGACACCCCAGAGCTCTCTGTGCCCCTCCCAACCCCACCTTACACAGGGGAGAGATTATAACCCATCCCCCACCTCCCCTCACAAACCCCAGCGCTCCCTGTGCCCCACCCAACCCCACCCCACACAGCTGAGAGGTTATAACACATCCCCCACCTTCCCTCAGACACCTCAGCATTCCCTGTACCCCACCCAGCCCCACCTTACACAGGGGAGAGATTATAACCCATCCCCCACCTCCCCTCACAAACCCCAGCGCTCCCTGTGCCCCACCCAACCCCACCCCACACAGCTGAGAGGTTATAACACATCCCCCACCTTCCCTCAGACACCTCAGCATTCCCTGTACCCCACCCAGCCCCACCTTACACAGGGGAGAGATTATAACCCATCTCCCCACAGACACCCTGTGCCCCAACCAGAACCCACCTTACACAGGGGAGAGGTTATAACCCATCCCCCATCTTTTTTCAGACACCCCAGCATTCCCTGTACCCCACCCAGCCCCACCTTACACAGGGGAGAGATTATAACCCATCTCCTCGCAGACACCCTGTGCCCCAACCAGAACCCACCTTACACAGGGGAGAGGTTATAACCCATCCCCCATCTTTTTTCAGACACCCCAGCATTCCCTGTACCCCACCCAGCCCCACCTTACACAGGGGAGAGATTATAACCCATCTCCCCACAGACACCCTGTGCCCCAACCAGAACCCACCTTACACAGGTGAGAGGTTATGAAAACCAATCTTGCCAATCCCAAACAGGTTCTCCCAGTCCCAAAGGACCAGCCACAGTCCTAGGGCAATTTACACCTCTGTTCTTACCCAAAAGAGCTCGCTTGGCCCGTCCTTTAGAATCTAACATGGAAAGGTTTATTGATAAAAAGAAAGGAAAGTGTGAGAGTAAGATTGATACTGAAAGCACATCACATACACCAATCACCAAGTTCTTGCTGCAGGCTCTTAGAGATGTGACATACTGCCAGCTTACAAGTCTCTTGACTCGGAGTAAGTCCTGTCATGCCCATGAGGGTTAGCCAGCAGCCTGAGGACTTAGGGATTAACTATGTCCCTTACCTAACCAGGTAGCTGGCAGCCAACAGAAAAGTAGGTAGGAATTTCAAACTGGGACAAAGGAATTTGGGGGTTTTCCCTCCTTTGTCTCTAGGCAGTTCTCTCCATCTACTGAGGGGGACAGAGAATATGTCTCGCTCCAAGAAAAGACTCTTCACTATCTGTAAGTAGGGTGAAGTTAAGATAAATCCGTTAGGTTTTATTGTTTTCTGGTTTGGGAATCTGATGTCTGTGCATTTAAAAATGGGTTTTCCTCTCCTTTGTAACTAAGCTCTTGGCTCATGGGGGTCCCCCCATGAGTATATTAATTGGTGACTTTTCCATCTAGTCATTAGGCTTAGATAATAAAAGTTCTTTCTCTTTTCTTTTTATTAACCTGGTATTGGTTAATTTGTGTGTCCTGGTTTTACTTTAGGGGCTGAGATTTTCCAAGTGGTCTCTCCCTGGTTTTCTTATCATTACTAGGGTGCTGGCAGTGTATTTTTATCCCCAAAAATCTAGGTTTTTAAGATTTTTGGGGAAAATTTTATATCAAAGCCTGGAAAGAAAAGGTTTGGGGTACTTTTGCAGACTCCCACTTCTGCATTTATCATGCCAGAGTGGGGAAAAAGCCTTGACACATCCTATGCCACTAAGGGTCAAGAGATCCTTCCCAGCTCTCTGTCAGAAGCACCTTTGCTAAGGAAGGTATGGGCAGGAGTGCAGACATACACGGAGGCACCCTCAGGATCCTTTTATCCCCTTGCCCATGAGGAGCAAAATCCATTGTCTTCCTGTGCACTGGTGCCTCCCAAAATGGAGCTGATCACATGATTAAGTAACTTGCCCATGTTCTTTTTAGGCAAACAGCCATGGGGTACCTGCTAATCTGCAGGTTCCCAGCAGAATCCCTCGGGTGTTTATTGGCAACACTTAAGAGCCATCGCCCATGCAGCATCGCTAGTCACTGAATAACCTCTCTGCACAGTAAGCAGGGGGGATGCCTTCTGCTGTCTGCCAGACAGAAAACATTTACATACAAGCCCAGAGCCCATGTCCATAATGTCACACAAACAAGTCTTACAGGCATGAGCAGCACAGACTCAGCAAAGCACAAGCTTTCATTAGACACCTCACTCACATAGCCCACTTGGCACAGAATTGGGGCAAACACACTACAGCGGGTGCAACCAAGATCTGCATTTTCTTATTAAAATCCACTAATGTCACACCCACACCCCGTTCTCCCATTCATACTTGCTCATGAGTGTGTAGGGCCCATTCTCATAGGTGCGGTCCAGCTCGCCCTGGGTCTGCAGCAATTCATCTGGTTCCACAATGGGGGTGATGGCAGCGAAACTGGGGTGCAGGGAGCCACTGGGGCACAGCTAAGTGGGGTTACACAAGAATGATCAGATGAGACTGTCCCCAGTGGAGATCAAATTACCCTCCACCTGGTTATATCAACCACACCCTAAGCCTGTGATCTTCACATAGCCCTCCACACCAGCCTAACATGGACCCCTGCTTTCCTGGTTACTCCTCCCTGGTCTCCTCAGTGACCTTCTTTACCCGGGAACAACTTCCAGGTACTCTCATGGACTCCCACGTATTTGGAAAACTCCCCCACAGCCATTCAGGGACCCCTGCTCACTTGTGAATGCCCCCTCCTCTGAGTTCTTCATGGATCCCCTAGAAACATGGCCCATAGCTATTCAGGGACCTCACTTATCTGGGAATGCCACCTCCCTCAATCCCTTCAGGGATCCCCCACTTAACTGGGAATGCCCCCTCTTCTGGTTCCTTCAGGGACCTCTGCTCCCCCTAAGAACACTCCCCCCCACACACACACACCCTTCAGGGACCAATGCTTACCTGGGAATGCCCCCTCCTCCAGTCCAAACAGAGACCCCTGTTTACCTGAAACCACACCCCTGTTTACCTGGCCAAACCCCACCACAGGCCCCCTGCTACTCCAATCCATCCTGGAGCCGTCCAGAGACCTGTTAGGTAAGCTGCTAAAAATTAAACTTTTATCCCCCCCGCCTTGCCCACCCCATGCCACGCTGGCACTTCTCTATGGGAGAGAGAGGAGGGGAGCATGTTTTTAAATAGCAGGGACTGCAGTCACACAGGGGTCTCACAGGTGGGCTCTACCTGTGATAACTGAGCCCCATCGCTATGCTGCCCTCTTGAGGCTGTTTCATGCCACTAAATAAAAATGGGTTTCCCTCTTCCCCAGAATGCAATGTGTCACCTTGACATGATCAGACAGGAGTATGGCCTGTCAGACTGCAAGTCCCATCAGACAATGCTCCATCTTGCCTGGAGTGCAGACAGGCCATGGCTCTCTAGTTCCCATCAGGAGTGGCTGGAGCGTGGCTCTACACTATAGCTCCTAGCATGCAATATGCCATCTTTAGCCAAGCAGGCCCCGCCCAGTCGTGACACAATAGAGCATTATATACTAGGATACAGTCTCATCGGCCCTCCTTTTTCCCACTTCTCAAAATGGAACTGTGCATACTGGGGATGTAACCTCATGTGTTACCTCCGTCCACTCAAGATGGCTGCTGGAATCAAGATTGAGCACTGTATGCTGGGAGCAGCTGCACTGCAGGAACCCCAGCTTCACGGGGAGCAGGGATGTAAGCGACTAGTTGACTACCGATAAGCATACGCCATACACACACACCCCACTGCCTCTATCAGAGAGAGACTGCAAGTGCGGGGAGCAAGAGCCGCTTCTCCCCAGCACCGTCTCTGTGGGGGAGCAGGGGAGGCAGAGGCACAGCGGGGGGAGATGGGGCTCCCAGCTCACAATCGATCCTCACACAGCACCTCTACCTAGCAACTCTTAATGCATGTAAAAGGCAGAGCCACACTGGGTTACCTGTGGGGCTGGGAGCTAACCCTGCTGCAGCTCAACACTTTCCCCCTTTCGGACTAATCAAGTAGTCAATGGAAATTCCATCACCTCTTCAATTAGCTGATGAAAGGCAATTTAACATCCCTAATGGGGAGGGGTCTTACCAGAAGGAGGCAGAGAGCAGGGAGGAGAAGGAGAAGCGCAGGCTGCATGGCGAGCCCCCCACTCGGCTGAAAAGCACCTGCATGGCTCCCTGCTCCCCATGCTGAGTCAGCCTCACCATCTGGACACAGCACTGATGAATGAATGCCAGCACCTGAGAGTTGGGACAAACGGGAGAAGATTCAGGCTACGTTCTTTATCCTATACCAGGGCTGCAGAAACTTTTTTTGACCCTCAGAAAAATCAGTCGGGGGCTGCACACGTGAGAAGAAAAAAAACCCTCCCTGATGTGGCCCCCAACTGAGAAGGAGAAAGATGCTCCTCACGTTCCCCTTGCACGTCAGAGCCTAGGAGAGGCCAGGCTAGTAGAATTTGGGTGCTCCAACTCCACGGGGTGACGGGAGAGGGGCTGCTCCCCTATGCTGAGAGGGGGGCCCTGAGTCTTGGGGGCTGCATCCGGCCCACGGGCCTCAGGTTCCCCACCCCTGTCCTATACAGAGGCCCCCAGTGCTTAATCAGTGCCAGGGCTTGTCATAGATTCATGGAATTCCAGGGCTGGCAGAGCCCTCAGGAGGCACTGAGCCCAGCCCCCTGCGCAAAGCAGGACCAATCCCAACACAATCATCTCAGCCAGGGCTTTGTCAAGCCGGGATTTAAAAACCTCTAGGGATGGTTTGCTTGAGCCCAGGTATCTCTACGCTTACAAAGTAAACGCTGGAAGCTCCACTTCATCCCCACCTCACTCGCGTAGGTACCTCCGCATTCTGATAATTCCCAGCTTGTTCAGCCCAGTCCTGAGGGGTCCTGCCTTGCTGATCATGGAGTCTCAGGTCACCCCCTGCTTCCAGGATTTGGGCAAGGAGGGGCTGTTGGCAGGAGAAGGCTGCGGCATGAACAGGGGTGCTGCCATCATAACAGCGACTGGGGACGGAAGTGCACAGGACAGGTATTACAATGAGAATGGGAGGCACTTCTGAGATGCCAGGGCAACAAGGGAGAATTTTCCCACAATGCACTGCTTCCAAGTCAGGCTTGGAGGAATGGGATCCAGAGACTGCCCTCCAGGGCACCTGCTCCAATATGGCCCCCAGGCAAGATTGGCTCAGGGGGATGGGAATGGGATATAGCAGTCACTAGTTCCACCACAAGGGTCACTCACTGGTTGGGCTTTGCTCTGAACCGGAGGAAGAGCCGGGCGACTGCAGTGTGCCCCAGAAGGGCAGCGATGAAGAGGCCTGTCTGTCCAGCTGTGTTCTGGCTGTCCACGTATACCCCTACGGAGAAGGCATAAAGATTATCCACAACTGACCAGGAATAAGGCCCATCATCCAGTGCCCCTTGGAGCACTCAAAGGCTCCAAGACCTCAGATCCTAGCATGCTATGCTCCCATCTTCAGCTGAGCTGCCAGGAGGGCAGTCCAGGGAGATCCCAGCTCCCAGCATGCAATGCTCCCATCTTGGCTTGGCCACTCAGCTCACAGCAGAGCACTGCTCACTGGAGCCATGGTCTCTCGTTGGGCCAGGGTGGATTCCCAGAGGGGTTTACCTCTCTTCAGCAGCTTCTTGGCCTTCCTCAGCCTGCCCTTCGTTGCATGCTGGTGTAACTGCTCTACAAGGGAGCCTGGCTTGGCAACATAGCCCAGGCTGGCGGGGCAGCATGGTGGGACCACTGGGGGCTTCGGCATTGCTCAGGAAAGCGGGGGGAGGCAGAAGGGAGGTTACCTGCTGGACAGACACCAGACCTGCTTCTACTGAGGAGTGGGAGGGTCACCCCACTGTACCCTTGCAGTATCCTGGACTCAACTGACGGCTTCCTGCCAGGGCTCTTCTGTTCCCCATTTCAGTGATCAGCCACATCTGAACTAACCTTTCACCCCCCTTAGCGTGACACGCCCACACACACCATGGTCTCCCCACCCCAGGCCAAGTCCCAGAACTCTCGCCCCGTTAATCCCTGCCCGGGGGGTCACTCTCACCCTGTTAATCCCTGCCCCCAGGGGGGTCATTCTCACCCCGTTAAAATACCTGCCCGGGGGGGGTCACTCTGACCCCATTAATCCCTGCCCCCAAGGAGGGGCTTCTGACCCCATTAATCCCTGCCCCTGGGGGGGGTCACTCTCAGCCCATAATCCCTTCCCGGGGGGGTCACTCTCAGACCATAATCCCTGCCCAGAGGGGGTCACTCTCACCCCATTAATCCCTGCCTGGAGGGTCACCCTCAGCCCATAATCCCTACCCGGGGAGGTCACGCTCACCCCGTTAATCCCCGCCCGGGGGGGGTCACGCTCACCCCGTTAATCCCTGCCCGGGGGGGGTC